AATTACCATGACCTGATGGATGGTAAATAGAATTACCAAGCCTGATGGATGGTAGATAGAATTAACATGACCTGATGGATGGTAGATAGAATTACCATGTCCTGACGGATGGTAGATAGAATTACCATGACCTGATGGATGGTAGAAAGAATTACCATGACCTTATGGATGGTAGATAGAATTACCATGACCTGATGGATGGTAGATAGAATTACCATGACCTGATGGATGGTAGAAAGAATTACCATGACCTTATGGATGGTAGATAGAACGACCATGACCTGATGGATCGTAGAAAGAATTACCATGACCTGATGGATGGTAGATAGAATTACCATGACCTAATGGATGGTAGATAGAATTACCATGACCTGATGGATGGTAAATAGAATTACCAAGCCTGATGGATGGTAGATAGAATTAACATGACCTGATGGATGGTAGATAGAATTACCATGTCCTGACGGATGGTAGATAGAATTACCATGACCTGACGGATGGTAGATAGAATTACCATGACCTGTCGAATTGTAGATAGGATGACCATGACCTGATGGATGGTAGATAGAATTACCATGACCTGATGGATGGTAGATAGAATTACCAAGCCTGATGGATGGTAGATAGAATTACCATGACCTGATGGATGGTAGAAAGAATTACCATGACCTTATGGATGGTAGATAGAACGACCATGACCTGATGGATCGTAGAAAGAATTACCATGACCTGATGGATGGTAGATAGAATTACCATGACCTAATGGATGGTAGATAGAATTACCATGACCTGATGGATGGTAAATAGAATTACCAAGCCTGATGGATGGTAGATAGAATTAACATGACCTGATGGATGGTAGATAGAATTACCATGTCCTGACGGATGGTAGATAGAATTACCATGACCTGACGGATGGTAGATAGAATTACCATGACCTGTCGAATTGTAGATAGGATGACCATGACCTGATGGATGGTAGATAGAATTACCATGACCTGATGGATGGTAGATAGAATTACCAAGCCTGATGGATGGTAGATAGAATTACCATGACCTGATGGATGGTAGATAGAATTACCATGACCTGACGGATGGTAGATAGAATTACCATGACCTGATGGATGGTAGATAGAATGAACATGACCTGATGGATGGTAGATAGAATGACCATGACCTGATGCATGGTAGATAGAATTACCATGACCTGATGGATGGTAGATAGAATGACCATGACCTGATGGATGGTAGATAGAATTACCATGACCTGATGGATGGTAGATAGAATTAACATGACCTGATGGATGGTAGATAGAATTACCATGACCTGACGGATGGTAGATAGAATTACCATGACCTGTCGGATGGTAGATAGGATGACCATGACCTGATGGATGGTAGATAGAATTACCATGACCTGATGGATGGTATAAAGAATTACCATGACCTGATGGATGGTAGATAGAATTACCATGCCTGATGGATGGTAGAAAGAATTACCATGAACTGATGGATGGTAGATAGAATTACCATGACCTGATGGATGGTAGATAGAATTACTATGACCTGGTAATTCTGGAACGGATGGTAGATAATAATTTCCATTACCTGATGGATGGACTGAAGAAATTTAGAAATAGTTAGAATTGCCATGACTTGATGGATGGACTGAGGAAATTTTTAAATAGTTGGAATTGCCATGACCTGATGGATGAAATATCTCTGAGATGGTAGATGAAAGTCCCCCGAGAGGGTAGATAAAATTCGCCCAAATGGGTGGATATAATGCCCCCCTTCCTCAATTAAGGAGAGTAGAAGAGGGGAAGAATGTAGTAGATAGAGTTAGTGTTGAATAAATAATGAGTAGAATCAAGTGAGCGTGAAGCGTGATAGTTCGTATTTAAACAAAATCTCATTGGTTAGAGAATTTTGATAGGTTAGCAGGTATAAATATGAAGTACCTAAGCTCGATGAAGTCATTCTTGTAACGAATTTTGGAGCTGACGGACCACCACCAGCAGCAGAAACAGCAGCAGCAGCAGCAATAGAAGCAGCCGCACCCGTGGGAGCTGCATCGCTAATTTGTGTTGCCGTGGCCGAGGCTGGAAACCTCGGTCCGGTCACGACAACCACTTTCGCGGATGTTCCGGTTCATCCGGGAAACCTTCCTCTGACCCTAAGTGGATAATTCAGTTCTAAATCAAAATTCATTCAAATATCATCATATCAATAAAATCTAGAACAAGTTTTATGAAAATTCTACTTCCACTCGGATGTCGCGGATCTTCCGCAGGGCTGACCTGTGACAACCAGAGTTCACATTCCGGACTCGGATCCAAATTCATTCTCATGTCATCACTACAAATAATTTCAAAAGAAATTATGAAGTTTCAAGAATTGGCCACTTTTACGGATGTTCCGGATCATCCGGAGGACCACCCATGGCCTCAAAGTCCACATTCCGAACCTAGATTATAATTTATTCATTACTAGCTGAGTGTGCCCGGCAGACAGACAGACAGACAGACAGACAGAACAGACAGAACAGACAGAACAGACAGAACAGACAGAACAGACAGAACAGACAGAACAGACAGAACAGACAGAACAGACAGAACAGACAGAACAGACAGAACAGACAGAACAGACAGAACAGACAGAACAGACAGAACAGACAGAACAGACAGAACAGACAGAACAGACAGAACAGACAGAACAGACAGAACAGACAGAACAGACAGAACAGACAGAACAGACAGAACAGACAGAACAGACAGAACAGACAGAACAGACAGAACAGACAGAACAGACAGAACAGACAGAACAGACAGAACAGACAGAACAGACAGAACAGACAGAACAGACAGAACAGACAGAACAGACAGAACAGACAGAACAGACAGAACAGACAGAACAGACAGAACAGACAGAACAGACAGAACAGACAGAACAGACAGAACAGACAGAACAGACAGAACAGACAGAACAGACAGAACAGACAGAACAGACAGAACAGACAGAACAGACAGAACAGACAGAACAGACAGACGGGGCTCTAGAATCAGTTAAATTAATTGACCACTTCCACTTCCAGAAGACCATCATGTAGTCCAGGAGTCCACAATCCAGTGAAAGCACAAAATTAATTCATGGTGATCTTGCCCCTTCCTACTCTAAATGTTATTTTAAATAAAGTCACGGAATTTTTGAATGGATGCTCCGGATCATCCGTTGGATCATTTTGTGACCACCAGAGTGCACATTACGGTCCCATTTCCAAATTAATTGATTTCTCATCACTACAAGTGATTTCGTAAAAAAAAATCACATCAAACACAATATGACAAATGACACTTTACAAATAGCAGTGCTTGGGTTGGTTGCTACCACTACCGGTCAGTTGGTGACTCGCTGCTTATCCAGAGGCTGATTGCTATTTTACTCATCCATATAGCAACCGCCGTCGGTACGGTAGCTACGGCGTGTGGTCCCATGGAAAATGATTTCTCGACCAACAATACAAAAGGGCGAATCAGCTTTTGCAATAAAAACTTGTAATGACATCATTTTGCAAACCGATGCTCATTAACTGAGGATAGGCAATTTGATAGATGAAAATATGCATTCGATGTTTATTTTAATTAACATGAGTTATTGGTTGTGTAAAAGCTATGATATGAGTTATGAACTCTCTGCAGCTCTGAAGTAGATGTAAGTTGGGTAATATGTGTTTGAAAGTGGTGTATGATGAAATTTACATTACACTATATGAAACACAATACCTCTATGTAGATTTTTGATGCCTGGAAATGATCGAATGGGGAAATTGAAACCGAATAACATTGGCTAAACTTTCTACGCGCCATTCATTTCACTGTCAATCTGATTCTGGTATTTCAATTGTTCATAGTCGCACGTCTTCTTATAGGGATGACGGTTCACCGATGGAAAATGATTAGCTCACTGACGGCTCTAATTAGTTCAGGTTTTACCAGAATTTGACCCTAAAAAACGCTGTTCTCCACACAGGAAAATGCCATCAAGATGGATAAGATCAAACTTCATTTAAACTTGAAAAATTGCCATCCTTCAGCGGGTTGGTAGCATGCTCCTATACCATGACCTTAATAATTGAAAATTAAGTGAGTCAACTACCATTCCTGCCCTTTTTTGCTTCTCATCACAGCTCGTTAGGTTTCATTATATCGTTTCGCCTGATTTTTTTTTTCGTGTTTCTCCAACTGGTAGCAATCACACTCTCTATCAAAATGTAGCGTGATACAGTTCTTCATTTCACCCACATTTCAATCGCTCGATAGAACGTCAAATGGGTAGGAAAATTAGCTTTTCCTGTCGAACACTTTGACCGCAATATATTCACACACTTGTAGTTGTTGTGGTCACCGAACTGAGAAGGTTGGATATTTTCCTCTATCAAACGCAAGAAAGAGCCACACATGGGCTATCACTATATGGACATATGGACTATCACTATATTTCCAGAGTGTCGCTTGCGGTACGATCCAACAAAAGCAAAACAAACAAAAAATACGAGAAACATATAACAAATTCCAAGAAGATATCAATCCCTCGGGGCGAAAGAGAAGCGGAAAATATATTTACTGGGGTCCTGTTTTGGTCGGGCTCTCTGTTTCAAAAGCATCCACAGGCTGCCAGGGAGCAGAAAGAGAGATAGTTTGTCGTTTCGTTGGTTGAGGATTTTCCCCATCGGTATCGACCAATTTAATAACCATGGTCAATTTGAGCCTGATTGTGATAAGGATACAACTAGTAGGTAGTACACAGGAAACAGCATCTGACTTGTGTTGACGGAATTTTTATTAGATACCAAGAAGAAACTCGTGAGCTACATTTTAATAAATGGAATTTTATCTCTGCCTAGCCGTTGTTGGACAAGATGTTTGCTTTTAATCAGAATAAATCGATCAGTTTTTTTTTACTCTGAAACTTATTTGAAGAGGATTTCCTTTCTATTTCAGACGTCAACGAATGTTCGCAAAACAACGGTGGCTGCGAGCAGACCTGCACCAACAAACCTGGTTCCTTCGTGTGCAGCTGTCAGCCTGGACTTCAGATTGACATCCTCGACGGTCGAAGCTGTATCGGTAAGTAATTCCCTCATTTTATCTAGCAATCTCAAAACTTGCTTGGAATGTTTTCAGCATGTTGATTAGAGTTTGTACGGTGAAGGTTAGCATCATCACTTTTTCAGATCTTACCATCATCGTCTTGAACCGTTCATCAATAGTTTTCAGTGATACATTGCCTTAAGCAATCAAGCAGAACAGTCTCATTAGCACACGTAAATTGCATCTAACATTCTGTAGCTCAGAAGTGATTGATTTAGCTTGATTAGATGAAAATTTAGCTTCACTCATCAAGATCAACATTCGCTTTCATCTATAGTCAGCAGAAACCTATGCTTGAAGTTCATGAATCTGAAGTTTCTGAAGCATCGTTAGAGAGGAAGAAGTTTTAGAAAATGAATGCACACCATTTTGCACACACATCACCGTGCCTAGTCAGGTGCATATAATTTAAATTATTTAACCGTCTTTCTCCGGTGGGCTCCTTAGCATCCTTGCGACGCAAAGGGTGGGGGCAGGGAGGGAGAATTATATCTCAAGTTTCTCTTCTCAAGTTGAGGGCATCCTCATGGCGAAGACGCTTCCTGCAGACGAGAAACGTCTTTAATTTAATGATACGTGAGCTGGGAGTTTTGTTCATTTGTGGCGCTTAGACTCACCCGGGAGCCTTTAATGAATGTGCTCACATTTCTTGGCTTCATTCTAAGGAGAGATGCATGCAGAGGAGTCTAGCGAAAGACTTTTGTGAAGTGTGCTAGGCCAAGCAGTCGACGGGGTTCGTTTGGCATAGGAGTAGTTAATGGCATCACGTTAAGCGAAATGTAATTGTAGATGATCCCGTAATGAAGGTGTGCGCAACAATGAAAGTTCAAGGGAAAGTTTATTCCGTGCTGTGAGATGGTCTTTGACTATCGGTTCCTGCCTTGCGCCTTTGTCGGAGTGCAGTGGAAGAATTCCATGGCCAACCGGACAATGATTTTTCGTTAAGATAGGAAACTTGTGCCAGTTTATGTTCCACGAAAAACTATATTGATATTAAATTACGTGGAAGCAATATTTCAACCCGAAGTTTGTTCAAGATGGGAAAATTTGTATGCGAACGGACTGAAAATAAAATTGACAGTCAGTTGACTGGTTGCTATGGTAGCTTGCCTGGATCCATAAGTTCTTGGTAGGAATGGAGCAACGATAAAAGAAAAGACTTTTGTTCAAAAACTCATGGCTTGCTTAGATCTAAATTTCATTGCAGGCTGCAGTTGTTCCCCTTACTAAACGTATCGTTTCAATAATCAATACTTACTCAAGTAAGTATCCCAAGCACGTGAGTGTCACTTGTTTTTTTTTTATAAATTTATTAAAATGATTTTTAGTCTGAGGCTAGTTCATTCATGTGCCTAGTTGCGACCATATGGTAAGTATTGTTTGATAGCGAAAGGTTTGTGCTACTGTGTCAACATTTGCTATTTCCATGTAGATTGATTTTTTCGGTAAAATTTAAGAGCCACCCTATTAGAGGTGTGCGCCGATTCAAAAATGGTCGGCGGCGGCGGCGTCATCGGCGTCACACTAATAGCACTTTTAGGCGGTGGTGGCGTGAATTGGTGTGGCATTTTTGAGCCCATTAGTATTTTTTGTTTACAAATTGAACAATGCATATGCACGGTCAGTATAAAGATAACATCGTAAAGTTTACATTACTTAAATTATATAACGTCCCAAGTAACCGTAGGCACGTTATTACATACGTCTGTCTGTATGTTCAGGAACATTTTCTAATTGAATATACCAGAGGAACTCAGACCAGCAGTTCACTTATAGATCTAAATACGAAATGTAGGTTCCACAGGACTTTTATTACCCTATGGATCACAAAACACCGAAATTTTGCACACTCGCCACTTCCCACGTCATCCTCAATCCGATTTATTCTTGCGATTTCGAACCAAAACATTCAAGGTGTCAGAAATACCGGGTTGCCGGGATGGACGTTTTACAAACAATCGCAGCTTGCTCTATGACCGGCACAATCGACATACTTGCGGCACACTGACAAAAAAGATGACCCAATATTAGTGTGCGGAGTGACCTATACCAGTGTTTGTAATTTCTGATGAGGCCCGAATATAGCCATAATTATACTATGGTCACTTGGGGTATCTATGAGGATCCGCTGACATCGATAACCATGAACACATGCATCAACCGTGACGTCTCATCATCATATTTTTTAAGTTTAAATTTGTGAGATCTCATGTTCTAGAGCAAATTGAAATAAGTCGAATTCGATTAAAATCACAACATTTTAACATCATTGCAATTTGAAACATTTGTTTACTTCCAAAATGCACAGATAGCTCATTTGGTTAAAAATGGCTAAAGTGTCATTTTCCCGAGGATTCGACAATTTGAAATAAAAAAGAGGGTACTTTCTTGAACTAATTGGAAACATTCGTTATGTCTGTCATCTGGTGCAATCAGACCCCCTTCACAGATAACAGCGCCAAACGGTTTGTGACGAGACAACGTTGAACTGCAGCGTTGGAAGAAAACACTCACACCAACATCTAAACATGTACAAACCCACACAACTGAGCGGACAGTACAGCGCAAATCAAAACACGAAGCGGTGTCATCACTCATCGTCATCATTCAGCTTCGGCTACTTCCGTTTGCGTTTGCTTTCACCGGCGTTGACAAATACTTATTACGTTATAAAATAGGAAAGTAATGATTATTCCAACGTAATTTTCTGAATAGAATGCGTGCTGCATTGGCTAAAGAAGACGGCACATTTTATTGCGTTTAGCAATGATTTCGTTGCACTATTCTTTAGAGAGAGTGAATGTTTTTCCCATGTTTATTAAGATTATTTTTAGCACCAGCTCCGCAAATCATCAATTACTATTAGAGATTTGCATCTTACTGATACCGGTGGTATATTGGAAACTCTTTCGCTCGAAAGCAAAAAATATTACAAGCATGATGCGCGCTTGGATGTGCGATTTTTTTCTTTCTCATGTGTTTCTGTTGCGTATAAAGTGGTAATGATTGACAATCGGAGCAATCACAAACAAGTAAGAATCTTGCTATCGCAATGTAATGATGATGACTTCGAGGATGATATCGTCTTCTTTCCTCGACCGCGTTGACATCTGTCATGCTGACACCTGTCAGTTATTGAGCCCTGGTGGTGAAGTTGGCAGGGAACTCCCAACAGTTTCAATCTGCACTCAACAGATGGCACTGTGATCACATAAGGGTAGTCATTATATGCCTTGTATGAAGAATTGATTAGTGGGATATCTTGTTAATTAGATATCTTTGGTGCAATGCTAACTTGCTCCTGCTTGCTGCTGGACCCAGTGCCACGCCGTCCGAAGCAGTAATGAGCAGAGGCAGTAGGTAAATTTACGTTTATGTTTCAACATTTGGTTTAAATATTTCAATTGGTAAGCCTTTGGCTCTTCATCTTTGTTCTACTTAATTGGTTATTCTAATGTGATGATTTCGTTTAGCGCTAATTTACAGGATACGCTTTTATGGGATTGTTTTCGTTTAAATTATTTTTTTTTATAACTTGCCTACTTGAGCACAGGAACCTACCTAAGTACATAAACTAGGTTGCCAAATCACGAATGATATGGTGGTTTTTTTTTCGCAGACAGGCGACTCTGAACCTTTCAAGCGTGCAAGTCTTTTGCGGCTAGGTGGTGAATCTCAGAATTACGAGTTCGCGGTGGACTGTTAAGGATTATTCTGAGGTTCTTGTTTTGGATCCTCTGAAGCTTTAGGTGGTGGCACTTAGCACAACTCTCCCAGATTGGCATACCATACTCAATAGCCGGCAGAATGATCTGCTTGTGGACAGTAAGCTTGTTTTTGAGGGACAGGGTGGACTTCCTGTTTATCAGAGGGTAGAGCGACCTGATCAAGATGTTACACTTGGTGGATGTCTTGTCCACATGGGATCGGAATAGCAATTGGCTATCGAGGGTGAGACCAAGGTAACCTACTTCACTCGATCATTCAATTGGAGTGCTATCAAGATGGGTCTTGACGTTAGCTGGTGGAACAAGCCGAGGTGAGTTCGAGTGTGGAAACAGAATGGTTTGTGTTTTAGCTGCATTGATACAAATCTTCCAGCTCTTGAAATAGTCGGACAAAACATCCAGACCTGATTGTAGATTACTCGCCAGAGCACGGATCACTCGACCCTTATGGTGTCATCTGCGAACATTGACAGGATACCACCACCCGGCAGGGGAGGAACGTCTGACGTGAAAATGTTGAATAGGATAGGCCCAAGCAGGGACCCCTGCATCAACCTTGAACGTATCAGAGGGGACATTGTTCAAGTAGACCTGGAATGATCTGCCCGACAAGTAGTTTTTGATGATCTTCACGAGGTAGCTCTGAAAGTTGTATCGATGCAGCTTGTACACTAGACCATCATGCCAGACATTGTCGAAAGCCTTCTCGACGTCCAACAATGCCATGGCAGATGTATTGGAAACGGACTTGTTCCGCTTGATGATGTTAGTAACCCGTGCGAGTTGGTGGATGGTAGAGTGGCCTTTCCTAAACCCAAATTGCGTTTTGAGAAGGATGTTATTATCATTTGAAAACACCAGCAGACGGCTGATTATAAACTTTTCGAATAGCTTCGAGCTGGAGGACAAGAGGCTGATGGGGCGATAGCTTTTGACACTGGTAGGATCTTTGCCAGTTATCTGTTGATGATAACGGAAAGATGGTTGAAGAAGTTAATACTCAAATTTTTCAACTCGAGGTTGACTACACCATCTATACCCGCGGCTTTCAAGTTTTTTGTGCTTCTAATAGCTGCTATCACCTCATCAGCACTACTACGGGGGTGTCAGCGACTCTAGACATAGCCTCCAGTACGGCAGGCTTTTGGGGGCTCACCATGGTTTGGCCAAGATTATGTGACATCACAAAATTTTGGTCATCTTCCAAAATGGTTTTGCACAATCTGGGAGAGAGCGAATCTTGATGGC